GCGGCGGCGGCGGCGGCGGCAGCAGTACGGGCGACTCGTCGTTTGCGCGCCTGCCGATGGTGTCGCCGCTGGCCTACCGCTCGCTCAACCACGCGCAGCATTCGCCCCTGTCGTATGGTCAGGCCAGCCCAGGCTTGGAAAACTACCAGGCCGAGGCCGGTCCGTCGCGCTATGCCGGCTGATGACGGCGCCGTGGCTCGACGCATCTGTTGGAAGCCGGCGCATTCGGCGGCTCGTGTTTGGGACCGGACCCATCGCTCCATCTGCCCATGCTCGCGCCTTTCCATTCCATCGCATACTCATCTGTTCGTGTATACCATCGACGTCAACCCCCTTCCTCTCTCTGTCTCGCTTCCTCTCAAAACCTTGATCGCGCTGCCTTCGTGGCCAGCCAGCCAGTCAGCCCAGACGACGACGACGCTTGGACCGTCCGTCGTCGTTGGCGGCGTATCCCCTCTCCCTTCCCCCGGGTTCCTCTTTCACGTCGTCTCCGGTCCCTGAGGTCGTTGTCTCGCCGCAGCTTGACCTGCGCCATGTCTTTCACCCACACGGGTCTAGGCTCACAAGCATAGGCACACGCACACACGCACACGCATCCTCTCGCGCCCGTCTCCCTATGAGCATTCCTGCGTGGGCTCCGTCTGATCGTCGCCGTTGTCGGCGTCACTTGGAGAAAGGCAGATCGGCGTCGGAAATATTCACCCTCATGCCTGGTTCCACGTACGGTGAATGCCTCCTGCTGCTGCCGACAAACGGTGGTGACGATGACACAGATACGCCGCGTTGATCGGCACGAGCAGGGATGGCGCAGGTGTCGAGGCGTCGTCGTCGTGACGCTGCCGGATCTTTACCGATTCTGCAACCGGCTGCCGCTGCTCGTCGATGTCGGCGCTGCGTTGCCCTCCTCCTATACGACACGGCGATAACCCTCGAGCAAGGCGTTCGGTAGCTAGCATGTCGTCCCGGTGCAGTCGCTGTCCAGCCCCGTGATGAGAAGAAGCATGTCGTCGAGGATCGCAGAGAGGGTGGTGGGCATGGCCAGCCAGCCAGTCGGCCGCTGGGCGGCGCGTCTTCTCGGCCGATTCCGGGTCGACGCCGTCGCTGGGGTCTGAAAGCTTGGCTCGCTCGCTTCCTGGGCACCAGGGCCAGGGCCGGTCGATTGCCGGCAGGCAAGGGCATCGGGAATTTTCGCGATCCAAAAAGCAGCAAGCGGAGAGGTCGGCGGAACTCGCGTCAGGTTGGGCGGACCGGTCGGCCAGGCCTGCCCAGGCTGGGCGGCGTCGGGCGACGGGGCGAGGCAAGGGAGAGAAGCTGAAGAAGCTCCAGGCGAGGCAGCCAGCCGGCCAGCCAAGCCAGAGAGGCGCTCGCTGACGGCAGACTTGTTGGCCGCCTTCCAGCTCGTGCTCGCCGCTCGCCGCCCCCAACCAGAGAGGGCCAAGCAAGCAAGGCCAGTTCTCGGGCCGTCGTCACCGCCGCCGCGGCCTGCTGCCGCCAACCCGCCCGGTCGCTCCCTTCTTCCCCTTTCACCATCATCCCATCACACCCGTCTCGCTGCCACCCTTTTTTCCGCTCTCGTCACGTCCCTCACGTCGCCCGTCATGTTCGCTCGTCAGGCTCTCCGTTCCACCCAGGCTGCGGCCCCCCGCTTCTTCTCCACCTCGGCCGCCAACAACCGCGCCGTCGCCGTCCTCGGCGCCTCGGGCGGAATCGGACAGCCCGTGAGTAGCCTCCGGCGCCTGCGGCAGCGCAGACAGCAACGGCATCGCGCCATCATCATCACCACCATTGCCAATGCCATCGCCACGACCACCCCGCCGTAGCCCACGTGCTGACACCTCCCCTCCCCTTGCCCTGCCCGCAATGTCCGCACCGCGATGATCCCGCAGCTCTCGCTCCTCCTCAAGCAGAACCCGCTCGTCAGCGACCTCCGTCTCTACGATGTTCGCCTCGCCCCCGGTGTCGCCGCCGACATCTCGCACGTCAACACCCCCTCGACCGTGCGTATCTGGCGGCGCCGAAAGCGCGACCCGACTTTGGACCCCGCAGCTGACCCGTTCGAAAACATCTCGACTCCCGCCTCTTTCGCCCCACAGACCACCGGCTTCCAGGCCGACGAGCTTGACAAGGCCCTCAAGGACGTCGAGGTCATCGTCATCCCCGCCGGTGTCCCCCGCAAGCCCGGCATGACCCGTGACGACCTCTTCAACGTGAGTCGGCGCCTGCCCTCGAAGGCATAACCCCGAGGGGCCTTCGTCGACGACCCTGCTGACGTCCTGCCGCCTGGCTCCCTTTCCCGGCCTCCGCACTGGCCACAGACCAACGCCTCGATCGTCCGTGACCTTGCCAAGAAGGCCGCCGAGGTCGCCCCCAAGGCCCACCTCCTCATCATCTCCAACCCCGTCAACTCGACCGTCCCCATCGTCGCCGAGGTCTTCAAGAAGGCCGGCGTCTACGACCCCAAGAAGTGAGTCTTCAGAGCGGCGGAGTCATGCTGCACGGGCCGCACAGATCAACACGGCATCGGCTGACAATCGCGTCGAAACGCCACGCCGCGACCTGCCGCTGACGTCGCTGCCCCTTTCTCCCGCCGCCGCCGCTACCGCCGCCGCCGCCGTTGCTCAGGCTGTACGGTGTCACCACCCTCGACGTCACCCGCGCCTCGACCTTCCTGTCCGGCATCTCGGGCAAGAAGCCCGCCGACACTGTCGTCCCCGTCGTCGGTGGCCACTCGGGTGTCACGATCGTCCCCCTCCTCTCGCAGGCCAACGGCGGCGACGCCGTGGCCAAGGGCGAGCAGTACGAGAAGCTCGTCCACCGCATCCAGTTTGGCGGTGACGAGGTCGTCAAGGCCAAGGACGGTGCCGGATCGGCCACGCTCTCGATGGCCTACGCCGCCGCCGTCTTCTCCGACTCGCTCCTCAAGGCCCTCAACGGCGAGAAGGGCGTCAAGGAGTGCGCCTACGTCGAGTCGCCCCTCTACAAGGACCAGGGTGCCACCTTCTTTGCCAGCCCCGTCACCCTCGGCCCCAACGGCGTCGAGGAGATTCACCCCGTCGGCAAGGTGAGCGCCGAGGAGGAGAAGCTCCTCGAGGCCGCCATCCCCGAGCTCGCCAAGAACATCAAGAAGGGCGCCGAGTGGTACGCCTCGAACCCCTAAATCTCCCAATCAAAAGAGCGCCCGCCCCTGCTCTCTCGTCGATGCCCGGCCTCTTGCTCCTCCATCCATCCCCACCCTCCTGCCCCGCCCTGCAGCCGGGAGGGAAAGACTGGCGGCCGTGACGTGATGCCTCGGCCATAAAACCTTTGCCGATGTTGTATATCGATAACCATCGCACCGAACGAGACACTGTCATCGTCGCTGCCTCCCGACCATCGACCGCCAGCCCGAGAACAGTCCGTGCTTTGCGCCCGTGAGACGGCGTGGCTCGCAAAGACCCAGCAACTAGTTTGGCCCGGCGGCGATGGCTGACGAATCGTCTGCGCAGCTTGAGAGCCACCGCGTCACAGCCGCCGAGGTCGGCGAGTACGTCGAAGATGCGCTGGCAAGGGCCCCCTCTGGGAGCGAAGGTATGTGGACGAGCACGGATGGCTGGCGACGCCGGCCGAGTCGGGGAGGAGGGTGGCCGTGGGATGGTAGGTAGGCTGTGCGGGTTGAGCGGGGCAAGGCTTGAGGCCAGGCTAGGCCGGGTGCTCTGTGCGCCGAGGTACGGTGGCCTTCGTCGCCGAATGCAGCCTGGCCAGCAGGCGGCCTGCTAGACCGAGCCAGCCGGTGAGCGGCGCGCCCGCCAAAACGCCGAGGGGCGGCGGCCCAGCCGATCGAGCTGCCTTGGTGGTGGCCTCGCCTGCCCCGCCCCGTCCCGCCCCACGTCGAGTTTGTCGATTTTCGATCCGGCCTGCCTGCCTGCCTGCCGTCGCCAGCCCAGCAGGGTTTCTGCGCGGCACCGAGCGAGGCTGCGAGGCGGGCCCGCGCTATAAAGACCTCGGCGCTCCGGCTCGGATCCGTTACCGCCCCCCGTTTCCCTCCCTCCTCCATCCACCCTCGCTCGTCTGCCAGCCAGCGTCCCAATCCGACCTGCCCCGCCCAGAACCGCCTCTGACCGCTTTTTCTTCTGCCTTCCGCGACATCGACACCAGTCTCGACGACGACAGAGAAGGACGACGACGCTCGACGTCGACAGCAGACAAAAGGGCGGTTGGCTAGCCGCAACAGCGCTTACCATCGACGCCGCGGTCGAGCCTCCACGTCCCCGGTCGAGACCCTCGCGTCGGGCTCCCCCCGCCATCCGAAAAACGCGACGGGCATATTGTCGGCTCCGACGCCATCCGCACCACCACCACCACCACCACCGACCCGCCGACCTCGGTCCCGCAGCTCGGTCCCCCCCGCCTGCTACCTTCACTTTTCCCTCAGCCGGCCCCATCCGATTGCGACGCGGATCCGCCATTGCCCGGGCCCCCTTTCCTTATCGGCGAACGATCCAGCATGGCCGACGCCGATATCAACTTTGCCAATCTCGGCGAGGCGGCCGCGCAGCCGGCCCCGACCCAGAACGACGAGCACCAGCAGCAGCACCACCTCCAGCATGGTGCATCGTCGACGACGGATGCCGCTGGTGATCAGCCACCGCAGCAGCAGCAGCAGCTCGATCACCACCAGCAATACGACCAGCAGCATGTCGACGATGCTGCCATTCTCGCTTCGTTCACTCAGCACGACGATGTCCACATTGACCAGGCCGACCATCACAAGTCTGCAGAGCCCCAGTCTGAGCAGGCTGAGCAGCAGCAGCAGCAGCAGCATCACCACATCGACGTTCCCGTGCAGCAGGAGCAGCCGCCTCAAGAAGATCACCATCTCCACCAGCAGCAGCAGGAGCAGCAGCAGCCGCAATCCCACGATGAGCAGCAGCAGCAGCAGCAGCAGCAGCAGCAGCAGGACGCGCTGGCTGACCATGCCATGACTGATGTTGCGCAGTCCCACCCGGACCACGCCGCTGGAGCAGAACAAGAGCAACAGCACGAGCACCAGCAGCATCACCAGCAGGACGCGTCGGTTCAGGAGCATGCCGCCAACGGCCACATCCCCGTCTCTGCTCCCCAGGTAGACGCTGCAGCGGCCCCCGCGACCGCCGAGGACGAAGCGACCAACGGATCGGCCACCGGCCACACCTACCAAGAGATGGACGCGGCACAGAGCCTCGCGAGCAACGCGCTGGAAGCGCAGCGCTACAAGGAAGCCGAGGGCCTTCCCGTCTCGGCCGCCGACGGGTCAAACTTGGATCCCGCCTTCGCTCCCCAGCAGCAGCAGCCCGCACCCGCCGCGGACGTCGACGCCACCATGTCCGACGCGAACCAGCAGGCCAAAGTCGAGCCAGGCACCGCGGCGGGCCAGGCAGAGCCGGAGACGTCGGTCGACGGCGGGTCTCAGCCGCCTGCCAGCCAGACCGAGGGCGGCGCGCAGCCCAACCCTTCGGCGCCTTCGACGCCCACCAAGCAGGTGCTCGTGGCGTCGCGCAAGCAGAACAGCGCGTGCGACGCCTGCCGCAGCCGAAAGGTGCGCTGCAACCGCGACCCGGGCGAGGAAAAGTGCCGCCACTGCAAGGCCAAGGGCATCGACTGCACGACGCTCTACGTGCAGTGGGCGACGTCGTCGGCCAAGCGGCCGTCGAAGCGCGCGCGCACCTCGATCGCCACGTCGGAGCCCGACGTCGATGTGCCCAAGCCCGAATCGGTCGTCGAGGCGCTGGAAAGGGTGCAGAACCGCCTCGTGACCTACCTCTTCCGCCGAGACACCGACTACCCGGTCGAGGAGGTCAAGACGATCCAGCACGGCAACCTGCCTTACACGTCGCCCAGCTCGCGTGACGGGGCCGCCGCCCGGCTGCTGCACCAGACCGTCAGCTCCTCGGTCAAGCCCGCGGCCTCGACGGGCGCCGAGCTTCGCCTGCTGACGGACTCGACGCGCGACGAGTTCATCGCCGACCTGATCGAGACCTACTTTTCGGTCGTCCACGTCCGCATGCCGCTCTTCGATGCCGACGTCTTCAAGAAGCGCTTCTACGACAAGGACGAGGAGCTGGGCGGCGCGCCTCCGGACGTGCTGGTGGCCGTCGTGCTGGCGCTCGGCGCCAAGTTCAGCCAGCACCCGCTGATCCAGGCGGACCGCGAGGAGAGCGTCCGGGAGCTCGAGCGCGCCTTTACCTCGGCCCACGGCGCCCTGTCGCGCGGCGAGACGGATCGGGCCCACCAGGTCACCGGGGCCAAGGGCGGCGTCGACCTGCCCATCCTCACGGTGCCCGACGAGCTGCGTCGCGTCGGCCGCAACCGCCTGGCTGAGGACCTCCTCATCCGCGCCATCGAGGTGATGGACCGCGTCAAGGCGCACCGGCAGCCGACGGTGGAGAATGTGCAGGCGTGCATCCTGGCCGAGGCGCTCCTCTACCAGCCCTCGACCTGGTGCAACGACGACCTCTCACTGGCCGGCAAGCCGATGCCCTCGAGCCACCGCTCTGCGACGCTGCAGTCGACCGGCTTCTGGTGCTCGTGTGCGGCCCGTCACCTGCTCGAGCTCGGCATCAACCAGAAGGACACGATGCTCGAGATCAAGGACCCCGCCGTCCGCGCCGAGCTCGAGCAGGCCTGGTGGACGGTGTGCAGCGCCGACGCCGCGGCCGCCGCCTCGGCGCGGCGCAAGCCCATCATCGACGAGGACGACTACGACTGGGAGCCCACCAGCCCCAACGACGACAACGATGCTGCGCCTCCGCCGGGCGACGCCGACGGTCGCGATGCGGGGCCGGCGACGGGTCCGGCCAGCCGTGCGTCGCGCGACTCGGCCGCGATCAATCGCAAATTTGCCGACCTCCTTCGCAAGCCCAGGCACGCCGCTGAGGGTGTCCGCATCGAGCTGCTCGAGGAGATTGCGACGCTCCTCGACCGGTGGGCGGCCGACCACCTCGAGAAGTCCGGCGTGCCGCTGCCCGACTGGCCCGCCGAGTGGGACTACCTCACCGCGATGACGGCGTGCACGGCCGACGTCACCCACCACGCCATGTGGATCGCGCTGTGGCAGTGCATCGACGAGCTGGGCATCTACGGCACCGACCGGAGCGCCGTCACGTCGAGGGCGGCGCAGGAGCACCTCCGTCGGCTGGGCGACGACGCTGGCACGCCGGCCGACGCTCCAACGGCCGAGGCCGTCTCGGGTCTCGTCGCCCGGGCGCAGGAGAAGGCGCTGGCGTCGGCGCTGCGGGTCAACATGCTCATGTCGGAGCTGCACGACCGCTCCTTCCTGCGCCTCGACCCGGGCATGCTGACGCAGGCCTTTGACGCCACGGCGCGCTTCCTAGTGCGCTTCCAGCGGCCCGAGATCGACACGCTGCTGCAATGCTTCCGCAACCTGGCCATGTCGTACGAGGACGCGTTCGAGAAGAGCGAGCGCATCGAAAACATCTTCCGCGTCTACGCCGAGCGCGCGCGGGTCGACACGACGTTTGAGCCGGGCAGCTCGCTCGCCATCGCCCTACGCCGCGATGTGGAGCGCGAGATGGCGACGACGGGCATGGACGGGCTGAGCATCGCCGCCGCTGCGATTGAGAACGCCGCCGTGGCACAGCGCCAGGGCCAGCGGGTCGACGAGAGCGATCTCAAGGACTTTTCGGCGTTGGTCGCTCTGGCGCACCAGCAGAGCCAGCAGCAGCAGCAGCAGCAGCAGCAGCAACAACAAGAGCAAGAGCAACAGCACCAGCACCAGCACGACGCGCATCACCAGCACCACGAGCACGCGCAGGAGGCGGCCCAGCAGCAACAGCCGCAACCTCAGGAGAGCTATGTGATGGACGAGCACGATCTCGACGTGACATCGCCGCATGCCCAGCACTCGCAGCATCAGATGGAGGCGGGCGAGCAACCACAGCAGCCCCAGCACCAGGACCACCAGCACGAGCAGGAGCAGCAAGAGCAGCACGCGCCGATGCAGGTTGAGAACGACGACGCCCACCCCTCGCTGCAGCTGGCCTCGGAGCCGACGCAGACGCAGGGCCAGGTCGACGCACACCTCGCCCAGCAGCAGCAGGACCACAGCCAGCAGCCGTCCGCAGACGAAAGCAGCTGGACCCAGCAGTAGCAGCCCAGTAGCAGCATCCAGGCTCCCCGCCTGCCAGCCCTCTTGTCGTTTCGCCCCGAGTCGCGCCTTGCGAGGATGACCCATCCTTGCTATGGTCAACGAATGCCTCTGGCCCCCTTCCTCGCTGGTCTCCTTGTACATACTGTATACGGTATCGTCCCATTCCTTACACGCCCATGCCCTGCAAGCCCATGGATTGCTTCGGTAACTGCGAAAGCTGCCTGGTCAGGCCACGCCAGCGACGCCTGTGGGAGCATCCATGCCCAGAGCCGCAGCGGCACCAGGTTCCTCGCCCAGTGCGCAGCAGGAATGGACAAATCGGGTCGTGTCGCCGTGGTTCGCCCGATCCGAAAGAATTCCGAGCTCCGAGGTGCGGAACCGAGAAGCAGACGCCGGGGCAAACTTCGGCCGAGGTCGAGTGGCTGGGTCAGTCCTGCGCGCCCGCCTTTGGAAATTCGAAAATCGAGGTTGGGGCCTGCTGACCTGCTGGGTCGGCTGAGCCTGGGGGCGTTGGGGGCCGGCTGGCTCTGGCTGGCCGAGGTGGTCGAGGTGGTCGAGTGCCCTCTGCCCGCCGCCATTCCCTTCCTCCTCGTCCACCAACCACCAACCCATTCTCTCCCTATCCCCCTTCCTCAAGACACCCCGCCCAACTTTTCAAAATGGTACGCATCACATAGCGCAGCCGATGCTCGCGACGACGCCACGCCAGCATCGGCATCGACCTACGACCGACACTGTGCGACAACCGACCAACGACGAGCCTCCGACAGCAGCAGCACCTCGAGCGACCTCCCGACCCGCTGCTGATGCCGCCCGTAGCACGACAGCGCGACGGACCGCCTCGAGGCGTGGTCGACGGATGACCGCCGGCCCCGACTGCACCGAAGCGGACTTGCCCAACGCGACGGGGGATCGATGAGCAGAGGTCGACGCCGCCGCCGAGCCAAGCCGGGCGGGACCCGCTGCCCCTGTGGCTCCGGGTGCCTGCTTGGCTTGGTGCGATGGAGGCGTCCTTCCACCCTCATCGCTCTCGACCTCCTTGACGACGGCGCCCTTTGAGCGTCTGGCGGCGTGACGTCGGCCACACCACAATCAAGATTGGCCTACCAGAGCCGGCTGTCCCTCTCGTCGCCCCTGTGCGCAGAACTCGCCGTGCGATGACGGTGCCATGTATCTTGGGGATGCGCGGGAACGTCCGGGGTAGCAATTCGGCTTGAGGGCACGCCAGGCTAGTCAGCTCGCTGCACCATGGCGCGTGGCGAGGTCAACTTGCCCTGGCCACCCTCTCTGCCGCCGTCTGCCCACCCTGCGACGTTTCCGTTAGCTGTTAGAGCTCCGAGTTTCGGCTTGTTCTGCTTGCGTCTTGTCTTGCCCTCTGCGGCACCACAATTCGAGCAACAGAGCACTGACTCGTCTCAATGACCCCGTTGTCCTCTCTTGCCCTTTCCCCCATACTCGTCTGTACTCGTTGTTCCGTCCCCGCCTTTCGTCCTCGTGCCCCGTCGTTGTACGATCCCCCCTTTTCCCCACAGCCCAAGGCCGCCAAGTCCGCTCCCGGCAAGAAGCCCGCCTCCGCCCCTTACTCGAAGAGCAAGGCTGGCAGCAAGGCCGCCAAGAACCCCCTCTTCGAGTCGCGCCCCAAGCACTTTGGCATTGGTGAGTTTGCGACGCCTCGCGCCCGGTCCAGCTTACCCTGTCATCGAGAGCCGTCGCTGACCGTACCGCCTCTCCCGTCACTTCTTTCCTCGCCGTCCCACGCGCTATTCTGCACCGCAGGCCAGGATGTCCAGCCCAAGCGTGACCTGACCCGCTTTGTCAAGTGGCCCGAATACGTCCGCCTGCAGCGCCAGAGGGTCATCCTCAACCAGCGCCTGAAGGTTCCCCCGGCGATTGCCCAGTTCTCCAACACGCTGGACAAGAACACGGCCACCAACCTCTTCAAGCTGTTCAACAAGTACCGCCCCGAGTCGAAGCAGGAGAAGAAGGCGCGCCTCGACGCCGTCGCCAAGGACGTCGCCGACGGCAAGAAGGCCGACCCCAAGGCCGACGGCAAGAAGCCCCTGTTTGTCAAGTACGGCCTCAACCACGTCGTCGCCCTCGTCGAGGCCAAGAAGGCCGCCCTCGTCGTCATCGCCGCCGACGTTGACCCGATTGAGCTCGTCGTCTTCCTGCCCGCCCTCTGCCGCAAGATGGGCGTGCCGTACGTCATTGTGCGCTCCAAGTCGTCGCTCGGCACCCTCGTCCACAAGAAGACGGCCGCCGTCGCGTGCATCGAGGAGGTCCGCTCCGAGGACCAGCGCGAGCTCGCCAACCTCGTCTCGGCCGCCAAGGCCAACTACCTCGAGAACAACGACGCCCGCCGCACCTGGGGCGGAGGCATCCGCGGCAACAAGTCGACGGCCAAGCTCGCCAAGCGCGCCAAGGCCTCGGGCCAGTCGGTCAAGGTCGAGGCCCTCAAGCAGATCTAAGCGTTGCGCTCAGATCTAAGCTGCCGTCGCCGTCGCCGGGTCCCTAGCTCCCCTCCCGCGCCGTCGCCGTCCTGCTGTCCTCGCTCGTGTCACTGGCTGTCTGCCCCCCTCTCCCTCACCCTCCCCCACCTTTTTGTCACCCCTATGACACCAAAAAAGTATTGCTGAGCTCTCTCGCTCCCCCTTCTCTGGGCAATCTCCATGCAAGAGGGGGGATGGGGGCAGGGCCGTCTGGCAATGCGCCGAGGGTGACGGCGGGGGACGGCGGCGTCGCCTCTTCTCTTTCCGTCCGCGAGTCGCATCCCTCCTGCGTCGTCGTCGATCGCACCTTCCCCATCCCCCTTCGCGACTATGCATCTTCTTCCTCTTTTCGTCCTACCCGATCTCCGGAGGGGGACCGGACAGCCGTGTGACTTGATCTCGTCGGGATGGCCGTGGTGGCGACTCTTCTTTCTCCTCTTGCTGTAACATACCCCTCTTGTGCCTCATCGCACGCACGCACCGCACCCATCGACTTGCCCCCGCGTCCGAGAGAGCCGCCCTCCCTTGGCCCCGTCGTGTTGTCAGGGCTGGGCTTGCTGACGTGCCGCGCGGTCGGTGGGTCACGGTCGCCGGCAGCCCGTTAGCAGTTTGGCAGGCTGGCCGGCAGGCTGGCTGGCTAACTAACTGGCTGACTGACTGGCGCGCAGGCAACGGAGCCCAACCTGGCAACACCGTGGATACCTCGTCGCCGTCCTGTCCGTGCGTCCGTGCGTCCGTGCGTCCGTCCGTCCGTCTGCGCCTTGGCTCGCCTCGACCCCCCGCCCCCCCAAAAAACACCCCGGAAAAGGGGGATGAAAAATCGTTTCCGACACCCGTCGGGGTGCGAACCACGCCGGGCGCAAACCACGCAAAAAAAGGGTGGCGACCCGCTTTCGCAGGTGCAACTTCTATCGTTGCGACAACCACAGGATTCGAACCTGTGCAGGCAGAGCCTATACGTTTCCTCCCCCAGAGGGGGTCGAACCACGCGGGCGTTTTGGTTCGAGACGTACTCCTTGACCACTCGGACAGATTGCCTCTTGATGTCACGTGGTCGAAATGCTGCGCATAGAACGCGTTGCGCCGCCGGGGGGGGGGGGACGCGGCGAGGCGAGTGGAGGGGAGGGGTTCGTC